TTTGCTGATGATACTCAGTTATATCTTCCGATTGAGTCAGACAGGGTAAATCCACTGGATCCACTCTTGAACTGTCTAAATGACATTAAAGTCTGGTTAAAACTAAATTTTCTGAATCTAAATGAAAATAAAACGGAAGTCATCAGCTTTGGTAAATGTAATACCCTTAATGTGCTTGGCCCCTTGGCTTCATACAGCCACTCCAATGTCAGGAATCTGGGAGTTATTTTTGACAGTGCTTTTAAATTTGATAAACAGATAAATACAGTTGTGAAATCCAGTTTCTTCCAGCTAAGACTTATTGCCAAGGTGAAGTCTTGTCTCCCTTTCAGAGACCTTGAAAAGGTGATTCACACTTTTATTACATCTCGTTTGGACTACTGTAATTCATTGTATGTTGGTTTAGACCAGTCCTTCTCAATTAGTGGGGCGCGCCCCCCTGGGGGGGCCCGGAGCAATGCCGGGGAGGCGCATGTGACCCCGAGGAACATTTTGTGGCAGGGAGGTTTTTTTTTTTCTCTTTTTTTTTGCACCATTCTCATTTTGTTAGGGTGCGTTCGGCAACTGTTTGCTAAAATCCTGCAACTTTCAGTTTTAATAATAATAAAGTTATGAACAAATACGTCTGTCTTGTCGTTTGAGGAGCCGTGATTGAACTGTGTCGCTCCCCTCTGCTGCTGAGCAGCTGCTGATGCTCGTCACCCGCAGCACGCGTTGGTTACCTGCCCCACTTTACCTTTAACGCGTTTTTTTTGTTTGTTTTTTGTTTTGTCAAAGCACAAATTTGATGTTTTTTAATACACAAGTAATGTTTAATAAATGTTAGGACTCTATTATTTGCTAACAAAATATATTTTATGTCATTAAATAACTTGTCAGGTTCTTCTCTTGCGAGCGCGTTCCACTGGATCCACCAACACAACCACACACACACACAGCCCGCTCGCTCTTGCGCTGTTTGCGACTTCTCTGCTGCTCTGAAGTCCAGGTCCAGCCAAGGCCGGATTAACCATATGGGCAACTGCCCAGGGACCCATGATCTCTAAGGGGCCCAGGGCAGTGAGGGCACAAGCAGAACATCTGGTTATCTCCTGCTTTACTTGGAGTCCTGCGCTGCATTTGTGCAGCCCCGCCTCCTCCCAGCGCGGCTGCTGCAGCTCTCGTTTTTTTTTTTCCAATCGGATCCTCGACGGTGCGACCTGTCAATCAACTCAGAAGGCGTGTCAGTAACTGACCAATCTACGACCTCAATTTGTCCCGAAGGTAAACGCCCCTTACCTGCTGACAAGCTCATCAGGTTTTTTTTTCTTGAGAAACATTGTTTTAATTAAAACAATAAGTTTGTATCTGTTGTGAGATGATTTTAGCAGTTTTGCAGATTTTTAATCTACATAATGAAGAATAGTATGACTTCAAATTGTTCATTAAACAGGAAGGAGGGATTATTATCGCTCCTCTTACTACAGTGAATGTGGTACTTTGCTATAAGTACGACTATTAATGGCATCAGAGAAAGCTGAGCTTAAGTTATCCACATAAAATAAAATGGAATCAGCATCAAAAGAAGGAATGTTGAGTTTGAGATGAATCCAGTTTCTGATGTTTGACCAAAGAATTTGTATTGACATGAAAAAAACAAATTTGAGGGATTTATCTTCTGATTTACAAAAGGCACAAAAATCAACATCAAATTTAAATATTCTTTGCAGAAACGTGGCTACAGGATATATCTTATTTATTATTTTTAAAATGATTCTCCTTCACTTTAGAAGATTTAGGCCAAGTTACAGTCATTTAGTTTTAATGTGGGCATCAAATCATCACCTTTGAATATATTTTAAATTCATTGAATCAGCTGTTGGTCAGGTTAGTTCTTGTTGAGCCATTAGCTCTAAAGTAGTTACTGAATCAAGTGTTTACTTCCATCCATCCGTGGGGGTAGCAGCCTAAGTTGGGGGGCCCAGACTTCCCTCTCCCCAGATACTTGGACCAGCTCCTCCAGGGGAATCCCAAGGTGTTCCAAGTGTTTACTTGTGTAGGTAAAACTAGATGTTAAACAACTATTAAAATACACCAGAATGCAGCAAATGGCATCTACTTTATTCAAAGTTTTCTGGGGGAGGACCCCCAGACCCCCCCCCCCCCCCATCAGTGTGATCTATAATTCTATCTTTTTTAAATTTAATGCTGATAAGGATACAATGCTATGTAGAGGTGTACTTATAACAATTTTATAGACAATTGATACTATTTACAGTTGCGCGAAGAGTTTTTTTTTTGGGGGGGGGGGGTGGCAAAATGTTTACTTCTTCCTAGGGGGGGCGTAACAGAAAATAATTGAGAAGCACTGGTTTACACGAATCATCTTTGCATCGTTTACAATGTGTCCAGAACGCAGCAGCTCGTCTTTTAACAGCAACTAAAAATCATTAACACATAACCCTGTCCTGGCTTCTCTCCACTGGCTTCCTGTCCACGTCTGGATTGATGTTAAGATTTTATTGCTTGTTTTTAAAGTCTTAAAAGGTCTGGCCCCATCATATTTATGTGATCTCATTAACATCTACACTCCAGTAAGAGCACTCCGGTCTACCAACCAGTTCCTCTTAGATGTCCCCAGATCCAAACTGAAGTCCAGAGGTGATCGGGCTTTTGCGGTTGCTGCTCCAAAACTGTGGAACAGTTTACCTGAGAATTTAAAGACCGCTCAGACTGTTGAGACTTTTAAATCTTTGCTCAAGACTCATCTGTATTCCTTGGCATTTCATCCACACAGAGTCTGAGAACAAATTGAGCTGATTTTATTGTTGTTATGTGTTGTTTTTACTGTCAACTTATGTTTTTGAGTGGCACTAGATGCATTTTTGCTTTTTTTTTATTTTTAATTTGTCTTAACTGTAAAGCACTTTGGTCAAATGTTGTTGTTTTTATGTGCTATATAAATAAATTGACATTGACATGGACACCACACTGAGCAGCAGGACCACACTTTCCACAGAACAACTGTGTCAACTCTTGAAACTGTGCCTGCAGTCAACCTACTTCACATATGGGGAGCAATATTATAGGCAGAAACATGGGTGTGCTATGGGGTCTCCAGTTTCTCCTATTGTTGCCAACCTGTACATGGAGGAGGTAGAAAAGAGAGCCTTGACGTCCTTTTCAGGGACACCACCAAGTCATTGGTTCAGGTATGTTGACGACACCTGGGTTAAAATCAAATCTCGGGAAGTCCAACATTTTACTGACCACATCAACTCTGTGGATAAATACATCAAGTTCACA